GGCTCTGTAGCAACCTCTAATGTTACAACGTCGCGATATGTTTAAATATTAAGTGTTGCAAAACAACGCTTGTTGTCATAAATTATTGCATTAATGGTTGAGATTCTCATCCGCTAATGCTAAATCGCCGCTTAATGAAAGAATTATATCATTAAGCGATCGAGAAGGTCCACTACTAGTATTTAAAATGCAATGGTTTAATATGACATTAAGCGTTGAATTGCAATGCTTCATGATATTTCCATCAACAAGCGGCGTTGAATCATCAGCGGTTGCTACATGGCTCTTCATTTGAAGAAACTCAACTCCCCTTCATCTGCAAGTTTGGTCGTAAAGAAGTTGAAAAAAAAATGAAAAAATTACAGACGTTGGCTGGACATTCTATGATCAGAAAAGCTCACTTGAAACGTTTGCTCAGGCGAGCTAAAAGTTACTGTAATGGAATGGGTGAAAAGAAAAATAGAAGAGTGAAAGTTTAATAAAAATCTGCACTCTTTATATTACATACAACTATATTGTTATTTGGATGTTGAAATGAGAGGTATCAATATTGAGTCTATCAACTATGTAGTAAGATAAAAAAAGGCAGATTTACTAACCGACAGCAGGAGTCAATCCGTGTGTTATGGTCATAGGAACCACTGGGCAAAGTTCCACCGTGTGCGTTTTTGTTTGAACTGTCTTCATCGTCCTAATACACAATTCCTTGACGAAAATCTGAAAATCATGTTTAATTTCATAGTTTTTCCTAACATCGAATTACAATTTTTTTTAAAGTTGTATTGAGCAAGCATAAATTGGATTCAATAGCATTGACGTTAATACTTGTGTTCTGAAAAGGTGTTTTCAATTTTTTTTTTGGGAGGGGGGGGATAGCCCCCTCCATGCACCGTGATCTTCCTTGTTCATACTCGGACTGGAAACATTATATGCGGCATTTTGTACTGAATTTGTAATTATTCACAATCAACTTACGAAGTAAATCAAATTTACTCTATAGACATAAAGAGTTTCATTTTTTTTAGCTTTACATGAAAAAGTCTTACATCTTAGGCATGAAGGTCCGTGTTTCAGGATTCAGTAGTTTCCCCTGGGCCAATATTTCCTTTTACTGAATTGATGTGGGTTCTAGGTACACTAGTGGAATATTTGTATTTTCAATATATAATCAATAGAACCCCGCCTAAACACCAGAGCCCCTAACCCAAGGACCATGAAATTAATAATTTTGAAAGAGACATTCTTGCTCATCATAAATTTGTACTTGGTTAGTTTATTTAATACCCATACAGGAGCAGAGAAGAAGATTTTCAAAGTATTAACGGATTTTTCACTATATAATCTATTTTACATCGGCCCCATCCTAGAACTAGAACCCCTGACCCTGGGTCCATAAACTTCATAATTTTGCTAAAGGGCTCAATGCTGATTACAATCATGCCAACAGTTTCACTGCTTGATGTCCAGGAGTAAAAGATTTTAAAGATTTCATTCAATTTAGTGGTTTTGGTCCAACCCATCAGGCCCCAGGGGGAGGGACCATGAATTCGCAATTTTGTTCCCCTTCACCCATAGCTGCTTTGTGCTAAAATTGGTTGAACGGTTGCAGAGAAGAAGCTGAAAATGTTCAAATGTTAACACACGATGAACGACGCACGACGACGGACGAAAACAAACAGCAATAGGTGACCTGAGTTTACTCAGGTGACATAAAAACGTACAAAATTTATACCACCCCTACTAATGTGTTCGGACCTTTTATTTTTAGGTGCTCTGCAAAGTATAAAACCCGATGATTTCAGAGTATACCTCTTGCAGTGGCTCTGGCGAGAGTCAGCAAGACTATGTACAGCGAGATAGGGTAAATTATTCAGGGAAATGTGGCTAGTAAGTAATAAGCACGTTGGGGACTTGGTAAAGAGAAAAATTATGTTGCGTTTCATTTTTCACCAACCTATAATATCTGTAGAAATGTACTTCAATCGATCTATCTTGAATTCATTCAAATTTAAATAAGTATTCTCTATGATACAGGGTCCTTCGGATGAGACCTTAAAAACCGAGGCCCTTTGAAAAACCTTCGCCGGCATACGGTGACGTCTCCATATGAGTGAAAAATTCTCGAGAGGGACGTTAAAACAATATACAATCAATCTATAATACAATTTTCTGCAGTAATGAATGAAATTTTTTTGGGCAAATATTTTTAAAAGGAAACTAGGTATATATTTTTGGGCGTCCGATTAGCAAAGGAGGCACCAACATTACTTTAACTGACAAATCAGTTGAATGAGAATTGCATTATGGGCTACTATGACAACTGCATTATGGGCTACTACGAATTCTGAAGAATTTTACGCTTGAAAGATAAGGAAAACCTTATACCAATCGGAAAGACACAAAGACCATTTTACATCCTTGTGTAAATTAATAGCATTTTTAAAAATTCTATTATTTTTATGCTCACAATGACAAACATATCATTTGTTAAATAAGTGGAGGTCTAGGTTTCTCAAAGTCATACTGCAAAGCGATTTGCGTCTGTATTCATTCCTTTGTTGTACTATCGGTGAATACAATTGTCAGGTGGATTCCCTGGCCAAAAAACGTGATCATGAGTATAGTTATGTTAAAATATGTCATCCATTTCAATATGTCATCCATTTTTTCCCAAGGAGTTTTCATTTGCAGGACCAAAAATTTTGTCTTACCCTATCGTATATTTTTATGCTCACAGAATAACCATAAAATTTAATTTCAGCGATCAACATATTTTTTAGAGAAATTAATTTAATTCATAAAAAATAAAAGAAACTCATTTTCTCTCAAATACATCTGGAAATAAATCAAGGAAGACTCATTTTGTATAGAGGAAACATCAATGAATTAGATTACACCAAAAAATTAGAATTAAATGCACTAATGTAGAAAAAATATTTTCAAAATCATTGGTATCAAAGTTCCTTTTTGGAGTTAGGCTATCTTTCCTGTTGCCCGGGACTCAAAAACTTTGGCAAGTCTCCGCAATAGTTATTATTCATTATTACATTGGCTGCTGAACTAGACAGAAATACATGTAAAAGAGGAAAACTAGAAACACACACACTATTTTATTAATATTTATAAACACAATCAGATGATGTATTATTGAAACGCACAGATTAGTGTGCAAAAATATCAACTTTCAACACAGACTCTGTTGACGATAATCATGTCAGTGGGTTGATTAGCCTAAAAGTATAAATAACCTAAAAGTTAACGTCATACCGGCACTCGTTGTTTACGAATTATTATGTGACACAAACCCAGTCATTTGTCTGTCTTTTATAGAAAAAACGGAAATCTTTTTCTTTCGGTCACTCCGTGACCATTCCATGTGTTCATTGTTACGAGTGTCCTACTTTCTCTTTCGAAGACTCTCTTACAAGCGGTTTCCAGGCACTTCACCCATGTAAAATCTAAGTTAAACCGCAAGGAAAAGAATTTTTTCTCTATATACGTCACAAGTCACATGGTGTGGAGGACCCTTAACATATTCTTTTTAGTTAACAGCAAATAAAAAACGCCCTTGACATCTTTCATAGTTTCTAATCTTTGTATTTTGTTCATAAGAACATTTTTTTTATTTTGCACTCCATTGACAGGATCATAGATTGACCTGAACCACGTGTTCAAATTAAAATGTAAATATGTATTTGGCGTAAATGTTGCTATTCATTCAACGATTGGTCAGTTGCTCGTGGTAAGATCCTCTGTGCGCATTATTAACAAAAGCCATATAAGGCAAACAAATGTTTGTAAGTGTAGATGATATTACACATTTTCTTACCAGCGTATCTGGTTGCTAGTGTTCTCTAATTTTCACCGTCAACATATTGTTATTTTAAACCCGCCCCCTTTAGCCACCTTTTTTTGAAAATCATGAAAATCTTTCAGAAAGGTCTGGAAACAATTTTTTCACTGGACATGTTTTCAAAAGAAACTGTATAGTAATTTCCTGTTTACTGCCAATTTTGTTTATAAATTAAACCGGTTCTACCCTTAGGCTATAACCTTTGAATAGGTCAACCTAAACCACGTTTCTTGAATTTAAATCACAATAACAAAGGTAGGGGTGTAAAAGATCTAGTAGATAGTTTGAGAGCTATTCATAAAAAAATTAAGGGCTGAAAATTATGTGATTTTTTTTCTCTAAATACTACTCTTCCTCCTGATAATGATCATTTAGGAAAAAAAAAGTTAACGATGTAATATCTGCATGAAATCTTTATTTTAGAAATGTCCGCTTGTCCAACATTCAGTTGCAACGACTATTATTTCCAGTAGTAGCAATAATGAAGAATGTGGTCACTTCCACCAGATCTCAAGGGATGCGATCCTCTGACGTAGTTCTTATTTGCGGTGTTTTCGTCATCAGTTTTAACGATCTCCTCTCTGACGTACATACCCGAAACTCGCTGACAAGGTTCGCTGAATCTCAGGAGATAAAATGGCTTGTTGGTAGGTAGAGACATGGAGGTCTTATATGAACCATCTTTTCTGAATAGTGAAAAGTAAAATGATATAAGCTTATGATATATTATGTGTTATACAGGGGCGGAGCCATCCATTTTTGAAAGGGACGTGTCCCTTCAATAATCATATACATGTAATTTTAAGATATATAAAAATAAGTAGAATATTTTCTACTATACTCTCATAAAAAGGTAATAGTGAAGGAGAATGGGGGAAACTAAATGTGTGAGAATCTATCTTTTCAATACATAAATTAGACGTTAAAATTTTAATTTCCGGAACGGTTTCCCCCTTCCTCTCCACCTCGCATAAATTAAAGGGGGGTCCAACCCCTGGACCCCCCCCTCTAGATCCACCCATGTTATACGTCGTTTGATTAAGGATTTTAAGTTAAAATACATTAATTAAAAAAAATGTTAAATAGAGGTAACAAGAGTTCCATAGTCCATAGTGCTCACCGAAGCCCGGTTGTTTTACGAAAAAAAATTAAAAGATTTTTAGCCGGGCTTTGCTGAAAGCAAAGTTCTGGCTATAGGCATCATGATCGACTGTCTTACTATAGATAGCACAGTAAAGAAGAAACTAAACAGCATCTATGCAGACGCTTCCGATAAACAAAATAGTCCCATTGGAAGACGATATTCAAACAAATATTTTTAACTGCCCAATCGTTGGAAAAGTTAATGAACAATATTTTTGCTTGAGAATTAAACTGAAAGAGAAATTAGATATTTTTTATTTGGGATAATCGTGATATAACTATTTGTGCACATACGATGCTGAATGCATATTTTAAGCGAACTATTTTCAATAGCGCAGGCTTTTTGAAAGGCGGAAATTGTTGAAGAGTTTCATGTTTCATATCGTTTTGGTCGATATAATGTTAGTGATTAATATTCTGTTTTGATTTTTAACAAATTACTTGTGTAGTGATTTGGAATTTCAAGAATTTATATGTGTTATGCCTGACGTTGCTTGACAATGTACATGTGTATCAGTGTTTCTACATGTAGTTGGCGACAAAAGTACTTTTTGTTTCAAACTAAAAGCATGTCTCTAAAATATGTGCATTATTTTAACTATTCCAAGACGGAATTTTGAATTATGAGAAAAAAATGCTGATTGAATAGAAAATATGCAAGAAATTCTCGGAAATATGATTTATCAAATTTTAAAATAATAACATATCTTGTATGGGGTTTGGACTGTTAATTCTAATTACTGGTACATGGGATATTCTTAATCACAATCATACAAACTCTACCTGTTAAACATCAATGGCCAAATGGGAAAAAAATAAATATGTACTAATTTCGGATCGGACAAATACTCTCGAGCAAAGCCCTGCTTTCAGTCATTTCAGTACTTTGATTTCTTAAATCCCCTGAATTTTTTTTATACTTATCGTGGTCCCACCCTAGCTCCAACGAGGCATGCCTTGGTCAAACTTGAATTTACACAACAACGAAATTTTATTTGATATATGTTTCTAGTGTCAAGAAGTAAGAATGGGAAAGGTTCCATCAAAAACATTGACTATGCGTGGCAAAGAAGTTTAAGTTGAATGGCTATTGACAACCAAACAATGGCTAGACATTTTATTATCAGAAAAGTTTACTTAACCGTTTGCTCAGGTGAGGTAAAAAAGAATAAGGTATAAATATATTGAGTCACTTTTAACTATGTAGACTGATAATACAGCAGACAATGTACTTACCGACAACAGTAGTCGATGCGAGTGTTGGGGCCATACGAACCACTGGGCAAAATTCCATTTTGTTTGTTAGCGTTATTACTGTTTTCATCGTCCCAATACACACATCCTTGACGAAAGTCTGAAAATTATGTTTATTAACAGCATTATTCTTAAAATCGAATTACAATACAATATACCATATGACTTGAGCAATCATAAAATTTTGATCCTATACTAGATTCAGTGGTCTTCCTCGACGTTAAAACTTGTGAAATACTAAGTGTTTTCAGTTCTTTCACAATAAAGAGTGGTTTAATTTCCTTTTTTATACATGAACTTGGATTGGAATCACTGTGAGTGGCAATGGGCAATTTCGAATTTTTTCACTTTAGTCAGATTTATTAAAAAAAAAAAGAATCTTAAAGTTTTAACTGACAGTTAATTATAGGTTAATGACATAAAAAGAAATACTTTAAAATCCTGCAATTAGTTTAGGAACAGCATACACTTATGCCATGGCTGTGGTAGGGAAAGCTCTTTTTTATCAAACCCGTAACAGGGATTTGATATCTGCTGTACTATATTACTAATATTCTTATTACGGGTCTTCTGTTTCAATTTACATCAAGGATAAACAGCAGTTTTTAAAAGTAAAAATTAGCTTTTCACATTGTGTGTCTACAGACAGGTCTTAAATATAAAAGACTTCGATAAAAGAAATCACACAATGAAATGTATTTATTAACGTACACACTTTAAAAAGAAGTGAAATGTGAAAAATATAAATCATGACTTTTACTTATTATATTTAAACAAGTTGCCATAGTCATTAACTGACATTTTCTTTTAGCAAGCTTATTACTTAATAAATATTGTACTTTGAGTCGTTGCCACGAAGCTTTCAGTTCTATATATGCATATTGTATTTGTGAATTTATTAGCACTTACTGTCATTTATATCTTAGATAATTCATAACTCACATTGTTATCAATTACTTTACTACAATTTTCATGCCTCCGGCCCACGATTTTCTTTTTAATATTGGCTTCGATATCATCTGGAGTTCTAGAACTTTCAATCATGAAAGATTGAGATCGGGCATAAACGGAAAAAGTTTTGCAAATTTTGTTTTTTAATCAGTAACCCATTTCACTTAAATCAAGATTTAAGTGAATAATTTATTAATGACGTTTATGGACGGGAATTACCGCCAAAAGTCTATGTATCTTGCTTTTATTCTTATTCTGCCTACTTCTTTACGCTTTGTTATTATTGTAATTATATGTCACTTGATTGTTTTCATATTCGTCTTAATTACATTTCACTTTGACTTTTATCCTTCTTCATTTTGCCTTTACTTCTATGTTGCTTTATTCTTGTAAATTCATTTTACTTTCTTTTAAATTGATACAGTTTCTTAATTGATTATATCTATTACGAACGTTAACTCAATCACGCAAACAATGAAGCATATTCAATGAAGACGAATACAAGTTGTCCGAATTTAGTGCCGCATTATAACGCTAGGTGGCACGGGTGTTCGCTAAGAGTGTTGGTAAAATTAGGTAAGCAAACCCGGGCCGGGGTTATTCGAGTTTTTTCAATTTTCTGCCTTAATACTTTATTAATCAAACTTAAATTTTTAAATGACTGATGTTTGTTATAAGTTTAGGTATGTACCCGATACATGCCATTCCCTCGGAAGTCTCGCTAGATGGTAAGATTTCCCCTGGAAGACTGACTACACAGTGATGCTTCCTTCGGAAGACTATACAGTGGGATTTCCCCGGAGAAGTTTCAATATATAGCTAGTCTTCCGTGGGAAATCTCGCTATATATAGCAATTTGCCCCCATTCCTAGCAACCCCTCCCCCGAATAGTTTTTTTTAAATCGTAAAACAATGTTTATATATACTAACGTTTTCAGTTTTTGAAGAAAAGTTATCCGTTCTATATGAATAAATATTTAAATAATATCATTTTAATAGTGTTTTATAATAAAATCATTTTAACCATTTAGTTAAACATAGATAATCTTCACGAGTACATATGGATAATGACTTTCTCTCTCTCTCCCCCCCCCTGGATGCAGTCGCCCACGTGGCACTGTGGTTACGGCGTTTGCTCTATATTGAGTCACGAAGTACAGTAGTAAGGAGTCGACCAATACGTCGTGGGTTCGAATCCCACTACAGGACGTGGAGTTCGGTCCTTCGGATGAGATCTAGACCGTATTATCCGAGGTCCCGTGTCGCAGTAGGTGCTGGCACGAAAAAAGATCCCTCTCTGCTCAATGGCTATAAGTCCGAGTATAAAGGACAAAGCAGTTCCCCACCGGCAAGAGGTGGCTTCTCCATTTGAGTGAAAAATTCTCGAAAAGGAAATTATACAATGTACAATCACACCACCGAAGTCTCAATATATATACTGACTTCCGGGTGGACGACCTCCCATGGGGTAATTTTCATCGGTAGAGGGGAGGGTGGCCACGAAACATTTTCCTAAACGTAACTTTTTACTACTGGAAAAGTTCAGCGAAAGGCTTGTTGCCCCTCATCCCTTACACTTTTTGTTGCAGTACTAATAGTCAATTTATATATCAAAAGTCATGTACTAATAGTGGCATATGAGTAAAATTTATTACTGAAAAAAGTTGACGACCCCACCCCCCCTTCACCAATACCAAATAGAATTTTCGAGTTTTAAGATTTTTTTTAGCTCTCCTGGTTGATGAGAAACACGGTGCGTACTAAAGATATTTCTTTCTTTATTGAAAAGTGCTATTTTAATATAAAATATTAACGCAGAAAAAAGACCGGGGTGTTTCTTAGTCTAGTATGTCTGGGTGCATGTAGTCTGGTTCGGACTTCGCCTTCCATGCGCGGATCTAGAGAGGGGGAGGGTGGGTAGGACCCCCTGGAATTCACAAGGTCACTAAAACAAGGGAAAAAAGTTAACCCCCCCCCCACAAAATAGAATTTTGACGTTTGGGCGAGTTT